TCCTGGCTCGGCAGCGGGCTGCTGCCAGCACTACGGGGGCCCCGCGTGGCCTGGCCGCTCCATCACGTCAGGGCGTGGGCGCCGCACTCAGCACCAGCAGCCCCGCTAAGTTGCCTGCCATGAGATGATGTCATCTCCAGGACAGCGCGAGGCTGCGGGCGCGCGTAGCTGGGATTCATGGCTCCAAGGTGGCCCTCGTCAGCTTCCACAGCAGTGGGGCTGAGGGCTGACCTCGCTGTGCAGCGAGTAGCGGAAGAGCCGGGTTTAATGATTCTGCGACAGCACTTCCTCGCTCCGTCTGGGCTGTGCTGTGTGCCCGAGCCATGGGCCTGGGCTGACTCCGCCCAGCTGGTTGACCAGCGGTGGGTAGCAGCAGGGCAGAGGTGAGCTTCACCGCGTCTGGCTTTGTGCTCAGGCGTCTCTGTCGTCTGGGTCATTGTCCATCCTTGCGCTGCCTTGGCCTCTGGGGCAGGACCTGTGCCTCGCTGCTGCCCCATCTTACCTCGGTCCCGTTACTGCAGTCTGTCGCTTCCACCTTGAGCTCCAGAGAGACATCAGAAGAGACAGGGAGTCACAGAGACCGCGTGTGACCAGCGCCCTTGGGATTCTTAGGAACCATTGGCCTGGGAGGGGGGGAGCTCCCTTGGCACTTGGCTATGCCCTTGGGGGCTGAGCAGTGACCGAGCTGGCGCTCTGCCTCTCAAGCCTCATGCCCACGTGTGAGGAGCCCGTCTCTCTGAGGAGGCTGTGGGTCTCCAGCACTGTCCACAGCCTCTGAGCCAAGCTGACAGCTTCCAGCGCTACGCTAGCTACACTAGCAGGACTCCACGGTAGGGCGGGTGGAGAATTACGGAGGCCTTGTGCAGTCGGGGACCGGCCCACGATCCATCACAGGACCTTGTGACAGCGCTGCTGATTAGAAGAAACATCTGTCAGCGTGAAATTAGTTACCCGGGCATTAAGGCTCTCTGTGATTCCAGGTGTGTCACGAGTGTCGTTGGGATTAAGGGCTCCTGGCCGGTGACGAGCACCTGCAGGGTGATGACGCTTTGTGGACCGCCCAACTGAAAACCTACGGAAGAGCAAAGCTTAAATTTGACTGAGCCATTCTCTCCTGTTTTTTCTCCACTTTATTTCATTTCTCTGTTGCTTATTTAATCTCAGTTTTCAGTCTCTCTTCCTCTCTCTGTCTCTCCCCCGTCTCTGTTTCTGTGTCTCTGTTTTTTCCTCTGTCTCTCCTCTCTCAGTCTCTTTCTCTGTGTGTCTCTGTCTCTCTCCCTCTCTCTCTTTCTCCCTTTCTCTCCTTCTTTCTCTTCTTGTCTCTCTCCCTGTCTCTCTCCCTCTCTGTCTCTTTCTTTGTGTCTCTGTCTCTCTCCCTCCCTCTCTTTCTCTCTGTCTCTCCCTTTCTCTGTCTCCCCGTTTCTGTCTCTGTCTCCTTCCTGTTTTTCTCTCTGTCCCTTCCCCCTTCCTCCGTCTCTCTGTGTCTGTCTGTTCTCTCTCTCTCTCTCTCTCTCTCTCTCTCTCTCTCTCTCTCTCTCTCTCTCTCTGTCTCTGTCTCTGTCTCCCTTTCTGTCTCTCTTCCTGTGTCTGTCTCACTCCTTCCTCTTCCTCTCTGTCTGCCCCCCTTCCTCTCACTCCCTCTCTGTCTCTCTCTGTGTCTCCGTCTCTCTGTTCTCTCTTTCTCTCCCCTGCTGTCTGACTCTGTTTCTCTTCCTGTCTCTCTGTCTCCCCCCGCTTCCTCTCTGCCTTTCTCCTATCTATACGGAAACTCTCCTGTGCCTAACACTGAACTGCCATCTCTTGCTTCCCCAAGCTGTTCCTGGCAAAGACCCCTCCTTTTGTTAGTCTTCGGTGGTGCTGGGAATCGCTCTTAGGACCCTGTACTCCGGGCCAGCGCTCCTCCCAGGCCCTTCTTCATTCTTACGATGCCACAGGGTCAGATTTTCCAGCTAACATTCAGGTAGCTTGATACGCACTACAGAAGTTCCTGGCTTCTTCTGTCCTAGTCATGCCCGCTGGGTGGCATGGGAGCCGCTGGGAGGGAACCAGGACAGGCAGTGCACGGGATGCTGCTCTGGCACCAGCCGAGTCACCGGGCGCCCACCGTGCATGCCGCCTGTCATTGCCAGAGTTGGGTCAGGCCAGGCCAGGCCAGGGACACACCTCTGCTGTGAAGGTTAGCGATGTTGCTCCGCAGAAAACGGTCCATGGGAAAGACACCTGCTCGTGTGCCCTCACAGGTGACAGCTCGAGCCTTGGCTCCGGTCTCACTGGATGTCACAGGAGGGCACAGAGTGTGGGAGCAAGTGCCACCTCAGAACAAGAAGTGAAACTCCCTGGCACGTGGGGGAGACACCTGCCCCTCCTGCAGACCTCAGGAAGCGCAGTGGGAATGATGGGGCTGGTGCCACTGAGGGCTGCAGGAGCCTGACCGCTGCCCCCAGCGTGGTGTGGGAGTGTGCGGGGCCACAGCGCGGGCCTGCCTGCCCGGGCAGATGCTCCAAGCACGACTTTTATTTCTGGGAAGGGCCACGCTGTGTACAGGAAGTGCCCATGGGCCAGCCGGAGCCAGCGCCACCTCTGCATTTTATTTCTAAAAATCCCAGCATAAGACCAGTGAGCCCGTCCTCCTGCCGCCCTCTGATTTGGTTTCCTGAGTTCGCGTTACAGTTCATCTCCCACACAGGAAGGCTCTGCCAGGAGGCGAAGACTGCAGGGTCACCTCCCACCCCTCCCTCGGGGTCCGCCTGGGTCAGGAGTTTCAAATCAATTTAGGGAGCCAGGGATGACGAACACTTTAAAAAATTGAAGTTAAGTAGGACTGAAACCATGAGAGTACCTCGCAAGCAGTCAGGCTGGAGAACTTTGTGGACCTGCATCAGCCGGGTGTGGCTGTCACTCACGTGCGCGTGATCCTGCATGGGCTGTACCCGGTGCTCATCCACTATGCCCGCACGTCCTCTTCCTGGTGCTCTCCAAGGGACCTGGAGCAGCGCAGGGCCAGAGCCGCGTCTTCCTGGGTGGAAGCTGCTGACCAGCTGGCACTGCCTGTGCATGCGAACAAGGTGCATCTCTGTGGCCTGTGGGCCGTGAAGCAACCGCAGGAACAAAACAGTGATTTGGTGGTTGTTTTGGAGAGAGGGTCTCGCTGTGCAGCTCAGGCTGGCCCTGGACCCCCAGCTTGCGGGCCGTGGGCTTCCAGTGTCTCCCCACCTCAGCTCCCCTAGTGCTGGGGCCACAGGCGTGCTCTTCCTCGCCCAGCCAGCTCTCACAGTGGCTTGGCTGTCCTCCCCTGTGACTGTGTTTGTGTAGTTACAGCCTCTGCACCAATGCGCACAGACCCTTCATTCTCCCGGCCTTAGGCCTCGTGTGTGCTCTTCTGCCTCCTCCTCCTCCTGCTGCTGCCTTCCAGGGCTTGGAGCAGACCCTCCAGGTGGCCACACACTGTCCTCTGGGAGCTCACTGGCTTTCTAAAGCTGGGCTGAGGTGCTCGCCCTCCCCTAAGGGGACACCTGCCTGGCTTCTCCGCCTGCACATATTACATATTCTTTTTAACTAATGAGCAACTTTTGCAAGTGTTTGTTTTCAGCGCTGCCTGGCCCTGGGGCCCGGCACACACTGGGCGGGAGCTCACACTGGACACGGCTCCCACGCAGCTCCCCGTGAGCATGCTCTGACCTCTCCAGGCCCGTCGCTCTGCCATAAGCCCCACGCTCACCTGTGGCACCTGCCCAGGATCTGATGCGCTCTGGCTGTCCTCGTGCGTGACTTACTCTCAGCACAGTTTCCTCCAGGGCTTCTGTCTGCTGGGGTAGCTGAGGCCTGACCCAGACCCCAGTGCCGGACCTCGACTTCCCTGACCCCCACTTGCGATCTGCACACAGCTTCTGGCTCAGGCTGTGGTCCACATTCCCGCTTGCTCGGGTCTGAGTCCTGAAGCTGGCTTCAGGGTCTGGAGAAGTAGACAAAGCAGCACCCGCAACGCATCTCAGTGTGTGATTGTCACAATGAATAGGGAGGGCTTGATTTTGGTCGTGTTCGCGTGTGCCGCTCTGGCCGTGGACCCCGCAGCCCCGGGTGTGCTGGGCCAGCTCTGCACACCCCAGCCCACGGGATGACAACGCTACCGAGAGAGGCACCTCCATCTTCCCATGTCAGGAAGAGTTTTCTGCACCGGTGACTGAGTAGTCACATCTTAAAGCTTTGGTGACAGCTCACTTAGTGGCACTGTGCCTTACTACCATCAGACTAAGACTATTCCCATTCCTAGCTTAGAAAAACGCAGAGAAAGGAAATGGCCTGCCCTGAGTAGCGGATGGTGCCCATGCAGGAGACAACCTCGAATCTGCGTGGTTTGCGCCTGCCCTATGGCTCGTGCGTGCTGAAGTCCCAGCGCAGCGCCTATAGGGCGGGCAAGTTGCTCTTGAAGGCAGGCTCCAGCGAGCTGCACACCCTGTGAGGCACTGGCTGAATCGAGCCCCTGCTGCCTTGGGATTCTGTGGGACGCCATTCCAGCTCTGCGGCTTAGCTGACCGTCTCCTGTCTGTTCCGCATGCGCCTGTTGAGCTCGGTGACATCTGTGGGCGGCTGAAGCCAGGCAGTTCTTGAGTGGCCTCACCATTAATTTATTTTATTTTGACACGGGGTTTTACCGAGTCGTTTTCCGAGCCGGCCTACAGTTTGCAGTGCCCCTGCCTTTGCCTCCTGGTAGCGGCGACTCCAGATGTGGACCACCTGGCCTAGCTTGTGGTTCCATCCAGAAAATAGTCCTCCCATCTAGAACTGGGTGGGAGCATTTCCTGGGACCTGGGCACCCGCGTCAGCATCCGCTGGGTCAGCCCAGCTGTCGTTCCCTGCGGCTGCAGAGGGGAGGCTCCCCAGCCAGGAGGGCACCGCTCACAGCAGGAAAGTGAGGCTCCAGGTGGCATGCGGGGGGCGTAGAGCGCCGAGCCGGGAACCCCGGGGAGCCTGCGTGCTGACCCGCACTCGCCCTGTTGCAGAGATCCACCGGAGCCCTGACAGCCTGCACGTCTTCCTCCTTGTGTGCGGCCTCCGGCGCGTGAAGGACCCTCTGTACCTGCTCGATGCCTTTTCAGGTGGGTTTGGGCGTCTCGGCGCGGCACCCGAGCCCGGGCACTTGGAGGTTTTTCTCTTATTCTTTGCACACAAGCAGAAGTGTTTTGAGATTGCAGCTTTGGAAACCAAGACAGTAACTGGAGGGGTCAGTAGGTCTGTGTAGAAATTTCTGTTCAGGTTTTTTTGTTTGCTTTCCTATGTCCACGGGTTCTTAGGAAACCAAGAACATTGCAGATAATTACAAGACTAAAATAATTTTTTAAAGATTTAAAAAGTAGTAAAAGTATAATGAATAAAATTTTAAAATAAAAGAGGAATTTGAAAAAGATACATAAGGGAGAGGAAAGAAAGAAAAGAACAGCATTTTATCCCAACGCACCCCGCACAGCCCCCTTGTGCCGCGCCCGGCTATGGCGGCCCATTTCTCTTCAGTCTCTCCGACAGTCTGCGCTGGGCTGCACTAAAAGCCAGTCCTTGTCTCTGCCGCTTTCTCGCCACAGAGGCACCGGGCCCTGCCCGCACAGCTCAAAGGAGGAGAGGCGCATTTTAGCTCCGTGTGTGGAGGTTTCAGTCCATGGTCAGCTGGCACCAAGGCAGGGTGGCGTGGCAGGGGGGCTGCAGAGGAGAACAGGCCGGGCAGGGCTGCAGGGAGCAGCAGGGATCAAGGCGGAGGAGGGAGAGGGCCTTGCCGGGCCGCCCCAGGGCCGCCTCCCCAGCTCCACCCCTTCGGCAGCACCTTCATCTGTGAACGCCACAGTGGGTTCATCCAGTGCTGACTGTCGTGGCTCAGTGGTCCAGCTACCCCACCTAAAGCTCCCTCCCATGGCACACGAGGCTTTGGGGGACATAGATATAAGCCCCAACAGGGCCTGCTTAGCCAGCATTAGAAACGTGGATAGTGTGTGGAATTATAGAAAACAGAGTCTTAAGTAAAACTTAAAATGTCAAGCATGTGACTTCTAAGTAAATGTAGTCTAGGTCGGGCAAGATGAAAGCAGAGCGCTGTGAAATAACTTGTTATGGAATAAATTCTGTTAAATCGAATAGTGCTCCCGGGTGCGACTTTGCGCCGTTTGAAAGTCTATTTCTTTCCTGTTCTTCCCAAGAATGGCACCGAGAAGAGCCCAGCGTCTACATGGTGATCGTGGGGCCGGAAGTAAGTGCGTGTGCTGGGGCTTGTCTCCTCTGTCTGCTTTTTCTTCCTTTCGATGTATTATCTAAAATAGCTCATATTACTCATCTCAAGTTGGCTTTCTTCCCTTTCTTTTTTTTTCCTTTGGTTTTTTTTGAGACAAAGTTTTGCTGTATGGTGCAGGCTGGCCTTGAACATGTGGTGATGCAAGGGGTGGGATCGCAGGTGTGAGCCCCTGCACCCCGATCTTCCCTCCCTTCTAAGTACCCGAAGTCAGTTTGCCTTTCAAAAACAGAAACCATCAGCGCACCCAAGTGCCTGCTTCAGCAGAGCACAGTGGCTGGGCTTCGATCCCGGGCATGCCGTGCTGGCCCCACCTCCGGGGTGCACTGAGCCGGCAATTGAGACTGCGTGTGGTGGCGCGTGCGCCTGTAATCCCAGTGCTTGGGAGGCGGAACACAGGCCGATCAGTATGAGTCCGATCTGTGTAGTGAGACCCTGTTGACCCTGTAGACCCCATAGACTGTCCTAACTTCATTAAATAAATGAGAAAACCAGACCACAGGTGGAGCTCATGACCACCACAGGTCATCTCTGCAGGTCATTTATCGTGAAGATCATTACGGTGAATCTTTACAAAAATTGCCTTGCTGTAAAGGATAACTAAGAAAGTCTTAGAGAGACACAGGGGTCATGGTGAGGATCTTCTCAGGCTCCAGGTGGGGCGGGCAGAAGACTCACTGTGCAGGACAAGCCATGGCTGTGCTTTCTGGGCCTGCTCAGAAAGTGCACAGAGAACAAGGGCAGCTGCTTCTGCAGCCGCAACAGGCAGGGTCTTTGGGCCGTGTTCAGGGCCTGCAGAAGGCTCAGGAGCCCATGGGGGGCGGGGAGGGACAGGCTCTGGTGGGAGGTTGTCATGTTTGATGGCAGTGGTGGCTGCTGGTCCAGGGTTGCTTTCTGAGAATCCAAGTTCCTGCACATGCCTGCGCTGAGATCAAATCCGGCTTCTAATGCAATGGCAGAGGTGGTGCAGCCCGAAGGAGGTGGTGAGGACAAGCGTGGGGAGCCAGGGGGGGGACCTGGGAGCAGAATCCGTGTCCCTCCAAGGAGGCCCAGAGAGCTTCTCACCCCATCTGCACGGACACACGGGGAGGCGCCTGTGCATCAGGAAGCCCTCGTCAGACTCTGGGTTTGCCTGGACCTGGACTCCCAGCCTCGGGGCCAGGGGCAGCCAGCTTCAGAGTGGTCCCAGCTGCCTGCCTTATGGTGTTGCCGTGGCAGTCGTGCTCGCGCGTGTGTGTGTGCGTGTGTGTGCGTGTGTGCATGCATGCGCATGCAGGTGTAGTGGGATTCCCACTGTGGGTGCCACACCAGGACGGGCCTCCCTCTTTCACACATTCTGCACATTATCACCCCCCAAATTCCAGCTGGTGGGGCTCTGCGCAGCTCTGGGCCTGACGGGGCTGCCTGCTTGTGCAGCTTCTCTAGTTTTCCAGGTCCCAAGGGACCCAGGGAGCAAGCAGCCCTTTCCTCAGCATTCTCCAGGGCTTTGGGGAATGATGTTTATGTGGAAGGGAGCCAGGGTGCAGCGTGTGATTGGGTTGGGTGCCACTCGGAAAAGGAGCCCTCTCAACCCCGCTGTGTGTGTTTGGTGTGGCACACACAAAGCGTGCTCACACGTGCACAGACACACCGCAAGCGCTAGCCACGTGTAGCTGCGAGGTCACTCCCAGTGTGCTCACTGATTAACTGAGGCCCAGGGTGGCAGTTACTGCTCTCCTCCCACCCTTTGTCTGAAGAGCCGATTGGAACAGAAGGTTTCAGTCTGAAGCTCGAGTTCTTGCCAACGAAGGAGGGCGGGGCTTCAGGCTCGGAGCCACAACCTGGGACTGTCAGCGTCCAGGAGGAATTCAATACCAGGGGCTTTGCTTCCACTGTATGTCCTACTTATGACATGCAATGTGACTTTCCAGCTAGGAAAGCGCCCCTTAAAGGTGAATCGAACTGACCCCACGACACACATTAAGCAGGCAGGAGTGCAGATGGTGTGCAGACACGGCACAGCGCGAAGACGCACCGTGGCTGGGGTTTGGGAAGCCTCTTACCCAGGGTGGGTGTGTGCTGTGGAAGCCACAAGGGAAGGCCGCTTGGGGGAGAGACCTGCGTGCACTCGTAGGGCTGCGGGTCCCGCGTCTGCCTGACCGTGGCCCCTCCTCGGGGAACCTGCACGGGGCTGATGGGAAGGTGACACAGAGTGTGACGTGCAGTGGCAGCCTTTCCCCAGGAGAGAGCCCAGAGCCCAGAGCCCCACGTGTGTCTGTGTCCTCGCCTGCCCTTGGTCCACACAGGATGGCGCCCGGGAGGGACAGCCCTTGCTTTGTGCCCTTCCCTGTGGATCGTCCTGCTGGCCCACAGCCTCTGCTTGCCTGCTGTTTATTCATTTGGGCCCTGGAGGTGTTCTGCCACTGAGTTATGCCCCGAATCTTTTTTGGTTTTTATTTGAGACAGGGTCTCCTGAAGTTGCCCAAGTGAGATGCAAACTTACAACCCTCCTGCCCTAGCCTCCCTAATAGCTAGGGTTACAAGCCTGCCACTGCTGCACCTGGCTGTTTACCTGGGCTTTGTTTATTTGTTTGTTTTGTCTCACTGTGCAGTCCATGCTGGCCTTGAACTCATTATAGCCCAGGCTGGCCTCAAACTCGCGGCGATCCTCCTGGCTCAGCCTCCTGTGCTGGGATGACGGGTGTGCGTTGCTATGCCCGCTGTTGCCATGCTTCGGAAATAGTTCTCTTTCCCCTGATTTGGACCCAGGGAGGGTGGAGCGTGGTGTGCCATCCAAGACCTGGATCCGCCACGCAGGCGCCTGCGGTTCTGCACACAGGCGCCGGGTACCGCCTGCGGAGGGAAGCCGCACACCGGGGCTTCCCGGGGAAGGGTGCGGATGTCGCTTGCCAGCAGCGCTGCTCTAGACCACCGAGCTCACTGCCCTGAGCACACCGGCTGCAGGCACCGCTTATGTTTGGCAGCAGAGGGCCGGGCTCATCTGCCTCTGTCCAAACCCGAGACTACTGATTGGCCCAAGTTCAAGGCTGCTGATTGGTCCAATTCAAGCCAAATGATTGGTCCATTTTTAAGACTGCTGATTGGTCCGATTTCAAAGCTACTGATCGCCAATCCAAGTTGGTCCAAGTTCAAGCCTGCTTCAGTCAGAATGGACATCTCTGGGAACGCAGGGGAGCGTCCAGACGACCCCAGCTGCAGCTGTCAGAGCGCTCCGTTGCCCTCGCCCCCAGCTGTCAGGGAAGGGGACAGGTGGGGCTGGTACTGATGTCTCACCCTGGACCCCACCCCAAGGAGACCACACCCTGGGACCCTCGGGACAGCCCTGGAGCGAGCCAGCCAGGTGAGCAGAGGACACAGCAGGGTGAGGGGCTCACTGGAGAGACGGCTCCTCGGCTGCGCGCCCCGGTTCTGCGACGGATGGTTCTTGACCCAGTGTGCCGCCCTCCCCAGGCAGGCCCAGTGCTGTCTTCATCCACCCCCTGGCTGACATCGTCCCACCACACCCTGTCACGTGCAGGCTTGGCCCTGGCTCCAGGCTCCAGGACACCGAGATGCCCAGACCTGGCCGGCTTTCTGTGCCGCCCCGTCCGCCTTCCCGTCCCTGCCCCTTCAGTGGTCCCTCAAAACCCAGGAAACGAGGCACCACCACCACCTGGCTGTCACCTCAGCACAGGGAGCAGTTTGAGGGCCTGGATTCCTACAGCGGCCCAGAGCCCTGTAGCCACCATCCCCCTCTGCGTCCGAGTCCTCAGGATGGAGCGTGGCTGCCGGCTGTTTGGCTGTCTGTCTAGTCATGAAGCGCAGATTCAGGTTGGTGGTTCCTCTGCCTCTCGTGGGCCTCCGGGCTGGCGCTTGTCCGGGGACTGGGGTGGCCCACTTCTTGTGTCTGGTGCAGATGCTGTCCCCACACCTGGCCCATTGCCGGGGTCGTGCCACTGAGGCAGAGCTGAGAAGAGCGGAGGTGTGTGCCAGCAGCCCTCGGGAGGGTGGTGATGCTTCACACACATGCACGTGCACACGTGGAATAACCTGCTACATGCATGCACAGGAGTGAACCACTCTGCACGTACACACACAAGGAAACATAGGTGGGCACAGACACACAGGAGTGTCCCAGTAAACACAGATGCACAAACATGCATACTCACGCATGCATGACCCACTGTACATATGTACACCAGAGGAATGACTGTGCATATGTGGACACAGGCACACACACACACACACGCACACACGTGCATGGGAGTAATCTACCATACTCGTGCACACATGTACACAGGAGTAACCCCTTACACACACACACACACACACACACATTCTGGAAAGAGTTGCTGACATTGAACTCGCCAGCTGGCCTCGAACTCGCCTTGATCCTCCTGCCTCAGCCTCCCAAGTGCTGGGATTACAGGTGTGTACCGCCACGCCTGGCTGTGTCATTTTAAAAAATGCCTGTGCTTTCCCCTATCTTTTGAGTTTGTGATTTGCTGTGCCTCTGTGGTGGCCAGGTACACTGGGCCTGGGGCCCTCGCTGCAGCCCTGCGAGGCGGACTCGTGCTGCTTCCATGGGGCAGAGCTGTCCTGGTTCAGCTGGGCCCTTCTCAGCCTGTTTCCTGGCCCCCCAATCGAACTCACTGTCCCCTTGCCATGGTGAAGCACCTGAACAGCTCTTTCAGAGGCAAGCACTGTTTGTCATCAGCTCTGAGTCCGGGGCAAGACTATTTCCACTTGACTTTGCGCCTTGTCCGGAGTGCTAAGATCTGCTTGCCACTGCTGATCTGCAGGGTGGGTAAGAGCCGGGCCCGGGGGCGCGTTCAGGTTCCGATTTAATTCACGCAGCAGCTCGCTGTCATTGACATCTGGAGCAAGCGTGCCTGCCGTCTTGCGGCCCCTTTCTTTCCTTGTTGGCCACAGAGCTCCTGCTCTGGGGGCTCCTGGCTTGGGCGGACGGGCCCAGCCTGTCCGGCAGTGACTGCAGCGGGGGCCACTCCTCACTTCTGTTCTGCCCATGAAGACGCCACGCAGTCCTGTGGCCAGCACAAGGGCATTGCTGGCCCGAGGCCGTGCGCACGTGGTGAGCCAGGGAGTTCCGGAGCAGGAAGTCTCGCTGGGACGGCCTCCTGCAGAGCATAGATGAGGTCCACTCTGCCCGGAACCTCGCGGGAAGGAAGCCTCAGCACACAAGACCGGCCACACCCTCCTTCCCTCAAGGAGCAGGCCGGTTGGAGCCGCCCCGTGGGACAGGGCTGCGGGAATCACAGAGGGAGCAGTGCTCGGCTGTCAAAGTGAAAATAGCAAGACATCGGTGCAGTCTCGGATTGTTTCCCCTTCAGCAGGGATGAGGGGGCTGCGCACTCCCCTGGTCCTGTCAGCGGGGATGATGTGGCTCTCGGCTCCTAGGGTCCTTGGGAGAGGGAAAGCGTGCAGTCCTCTGCTCCAGGGACACCACACCCAGCTCTGGAGCATCACCTGTCGGCCTGCGCTGGGGCCGTGGGGACCTGCTGGTGAGAGCCAGAGCAGCCCCTCAGGGACGCCAGGGTTCTGCTACTTCCTCCGTCACACACCAGGGTCCTCTGGACCACAGCCGTGTCTGAGTCCATGTCTGTGTCAGAGCCGTGTCTGTGTAGGCAGCCACGTCTTCACGTGCACATCTGTGTCTGTGTCCACGTGCCGCCTGCATGTTGGAATCTGTATGTGTGTCTCTACCACAGCCGTGTCTGTGCGTGTCCGTGTCTCCGCCTGTACATCCACATGTCTACCGGCACATCCATATCTGTGTCCGTGTCTCTGTCTACACTGTCTGTCTACATCTGCTCATTTATGTCTTTATGCATGGTGTCAATTCGTGTCTGCGCACACACTTCTGCAGACTGCCCTACTGATCAACACCTGGATGCTAACGGCCCCCACTAGGACCCTCCACTTCCACCCCCATGCAGGTACCTGGATCTCTGGGTTCCCCAGGTCAGTGGCGTGTGGGGTCCAGGCGGGAGCACCCTGCACCACACACTTTGGGGAGAGCTGTGGATTGGGAGCGACAGCTGCGCCACTTTCCATGGTGGCTTCTTCTATCTGGGGTGATTTCCCCAAAACTGGGGAGTTGGAACTGTGGCCTTCTAGAAAACGGATGTGCTTGCAGGGAAGGCATGAGACCCTTCTTCGCCGCTCATGGTGCTTTTGCCTCTAAAAATCTCCTAACACGCACTTGCATTTAATAAGAACACCCCTCGCCTTTCTCTTCATCTGTGTGAGCTGCTCCCTGGCTTCACTAAGAGACCTGAAAGCGCACTGAGGTGGAAGGCGAGCCCAGCGAAGGTGTGTGCGCTTCCCGTTTACTTGAAGGCCAGCTGTGGACCGGTGCCCGCATCTCAGTTAAGGTCTTTCTCGAGCTTATAAAACTGGATTTATCTCCTGAAGAAAGTATCCTTCCCTGAATGGTTAATCAGGAGATGGGCACATGCTAATAGAGTTGCATAGAGAAATTTGTAGCTACAAATACAGTAAGTAAAATATTCACACGCAAATTCATGAGGAGTCCAGAGAAACTCTCCGTGGACTGTCAGGGGCTGGGGTCAGAGTGCGGTTCTGCTGTAAGGTAGAGTCAGTTGGAAGTCGCCCTTTAGCAGGGATTCCCAGGCATGGGCCAGGCACGTGAGGCTGGGTCGGGGGAGAGGACGGGCGTGAGGAAGGTGGCTCCACAGGAGGAGACCCCCCTGCTGGGCAGGATGGCCAGGACAGCAGAGGTGGTACTGCCCACGGGTCTTGGGCCCAGGTGACAGCGCTGGAGAGGTTGGAGCGTGACTAGGAGCATGGGACAGCTCTGTAAGCAGGCAGGTATGCCCCAGCCACACGAGCTTCTTGTGCACTGCCGCTGGGCAGAAGCCACGGAGGCAGGGCCCGGCCTAAAGAGGCAGGCTCTGGGTGTGCTGCCTGAATGTGGGTATTGGCCCGGTGTTTCTGGCTGTGCCACCCTGGAGAAGTTACACCACCTCTCTGAGCTTTTTGTCCTCATGTGCAAAGGGACAGTGATGACAGTCTCCTTGGGAGCTAGGTTGTTGGGCATAGTTTGGCATGTAGGAAGTGGCTGCTGAGTGTTAACAGGTACAGAGTGATAAGAGATTGCTTGTGGCTGTCAGTTTTCTCTTTTAAGATCCCTCTAGGGCTGGCCAGATAGCTTAGCGGACTAAAGCTCCTGCTTAGGCAGAGCGCAGTGGCTGGGGTTTGATCCCTGGCATGCTGTGCCAGCCCTGCCTCCAGGGGGCGCTGAGATAGCGATTGTGACTGCTCGGGGTGCACCCGTGTAATCCCAGCACTTGGGAGGCTGAAAACAGGAGGGTCGCTAGGAGTCTGATTTGTGTAGTGAGACCCTGTACCAAATACATCAAAAAAAAGAAAAAACCCTCTAGGGCCAAATGTCTTGAGCGGGCACACTCAACACTGTCAGACGGTGACTTCTTGGGGACCGGGGCTGCAGGATGCCACTGAGATGTGTGCCACCAGTGCTTGGGGTGGGGCTCAGGTGCCCCAGCGTCCCCATAGTCGGGTCCACACAGGCACCTGAACCACTTCCTTTCAGGAGAGAGCAAAGTCAGGCTTCTAACAGCAGCTGCACGCCAGCGGCACTCTAAGCCAGTGAGGCCATGTTCTTTAAATCTGCTTCATTCGCAGCTTACTGCGAGTGTAAATGAGAACAGAAATCGAATCTGCCTTCCCTCCCGCTCGTGGGCGTCTCTGTGAGAAGGCCACAGCAGGCACAGTGCCCGTGAAGTGAGCTCAGCCTGCCCTGTGGCGGCACCCAGGGACCGTCCAGGACTCTGTTGAACCCGCATCGATTTAAAATGTGTCTTGGCTGTTCTAGAATCCTGTTCCTTGCCGCCGCAGTGGCCCAGTGGGGTGAAGGATGTGTGTGGTTGAGCGCTGGCCCTGCAGGGTGTCTGCAGTGGCTGTGGGTTTGCAGGTGTGACAAGTGCCTACCTCAAGGGGAAGGGGCCCTGTGTCCCCTCCTCCTCCACCAGCCAGGGGTGAGGAAACCAGTCTGGGGCTCGTTGACACACACGGCTGGCACTGTCCCCGCTGCGTTTCCCCTGTGCTTGGACATACAGGGACATACCAGTTTGCTTAAAACCCGTGGTGCGGCCAGGCCTGGCGCTGCACGCCCGTGACCCCAGCACTCTGGAGACTGAGGTCGGGGAGCATAAGTTCAAGCCGGGTTAGATCACCGTTAGTGATTCAGTGAGACCCTGTCTCAAAGTAGAAAAGCTGGGAAGATGGAATGCGGTGGGTGTGCAGGCCTCGGGCACCGTCCCACGTGTGTGACTGCCATTCATGGCTGAAGCCTAAGTCGCGTGTTGTGCCCCCCTGCATGCAGCCCCTCCATCCTCTTCTGCTCCGTCTGGCGTCCCCGCTTCTATCGCTCTGTGGCTGCACTCCGGCTCGTTCCCCGCCCTGTTGCTCTGGGGCTGCCGGGTCTGTCTCCACGCCCAAGTGGGGCCCACAGGCCTCGGCTCTCCCCCACGGGCCCTGCTCAGGCTGGTCCTCTCCTTTCAGGTGGATCCGCTGTTCACCAGGGAAGTGAGAGCCGGAGTGGAGAGGTAAGGCTGGAGGTAGCCGCGCCCTGCAGAGGGCTCCACCGCGGCTCAGCACGGAGGCCACCACCCCCGGCCCTCACCCCCACCCCCGGCACTCACCCCCACCCCTGGCCTTGGCCCTGGGTCCCACACCATCCCCGCCCCAGTCCTTCAGCTGCCAAGGTGACCACACAACCCTGTCAGACACTGCCGGGCCCAGGCCTAGGGCGAGGCGGGCTGTTGAGCAGGACCCTGTGAGGTGCAGCCCCGCCCTGGGACACAGCTGTGTCCCCAGCAGCAGAGGTCGCGTCAGGCAGGTCGGCTGCCTTGTTCCCCACTGGCCCTTCCTCCTGGTGCCTTCAGTGTGAGTCCAACCTTCCTTTCTTTACCATACTGGGGATTGAACCTGAGGCCTTTGCACTGAGCGACATCCCCAGCCAATTTTTTTTTTTTTTTTTCATTTTGAGGTAGAATCTCAGCAAGTAGCTAAGTTGCCTAGGCTGGGCCTGAACTTGGGATCCTCCTGCCTCAGCCTCCCGGAGTGCAGCAATGGCTAGCGAGCCCCCACCCCTGCCCAGCTAATGACGCTTCTCATTGGGGCCCTTCCTGGAGGTCGTCCTGCCCTTCCTACGGCCCTGTGCTCGCCCCCCGCAGTAACCTGCCGTCCACCCGTCTCATAGGGCCCGCGGGGTGCGGCTGCTGGGAGAGATGCCCCAGGGAGACCTGCATGCGGCCCTCAGGCGCTGCTGTGCGCTGGTGAACAGCTCCGTGTCGGAGGGCATGTCAGCCGCCATCCTGGAGGTAAAGGGGCTGGGGCGCAGCCGACCCGCACGGCTCTTGGGGTTGCACGTGGGGTGGCCGTGGGGACGGAGGGCACCACTTCCTGTCGCATCGCTGGCTTGTGCTGGCTGGGTGTCGTCTCCTGGCCCAGCTCCGCAGCCCTGAATTCGGGATGCAGCGAGGACGCAGCCCTTGTGCCCCTGTTGGGCGTGACCACCTCGAGCATGCGCAGTGCGCCCTGTCTGGGCCACGCCTGCCACGACTCCTGCTGCCCAGCGTGCAGGGTCCCTGGCAGCTCCCAGCAGGGACAGCGCGTACAGCATGCGTAGCACACACGCATACACACGCACAATGAAGCCTGCATAGAAAGGAGGACGTCTGGCCGTCAGAGCTCGAGGCCCTGGCTCGATGTCCCCGGGGCTCACCTGGCCGGGCGCTGCCTTCTTCGTGGGAGCCCCGTGACACCAGCCGTGGGTCTTGGGGACTGCATGGAGTAAACAGAATGTATTGACAGAAGTGCAGCTCACAGCCTTAGTGTCCTGGAGACAGCCTTAGTGTCCTGGAGACTGTGGTTAATAAGAGTCAGAAAGAAACCCTCTCTTAGGTTCAAACAGATAATTGACATTTTAGGTCTGATATTTTCTTTTAATCAGACGTCATTCAAAAAAGAATAAAACCTGAAAAACCAAACACTCACGGCCGTGGTAGAGCTGGACCCCTGTGCCCGAGCTCGGGCTGGCCGCCCGGGGTGCGGCTTTGTGATGCTCCCCTTGGGCCGTGGTTGCCGCCCGGGTTGCCGCGTCCTGTGGCTGTAGTGGGCCACACTGTGCGCTGGACGCCCCAGCCCTGCTCAGGAGCCTGCTGACCGCGCCTCCCCCGAGGGCGCACACGCTTCTGCCGCTTCATAAGGACAGGGGCAGAGGCTGCAGACAGTGGCCACCTGCGGCAAAGGAGATGCTGGGGCTCAGCCTCCACAGTGCTGCTGCCGCCAGGTTCCTTCCCAGATGTCCAAAATACCCTTTGGGCAGAGGGTTTGCAGGAAGCTGGTTTCGGAGGTGTGGCCCTGGCGCGCTCCATCAGCTCCAGTTCATCAGCACCGGAGTGGGAGCCAGTGCCTCCCAGGAAGTGATCTCCACCTCCCGGAGCTGGCTCTGTTGTTGTCCGGGCAGTGCGGAGAAATCCGTTGGCGGAAAGCTCCTTGCTGTTCAGCCCCCACGTCACACCAGCTGGCTCCGGGCATGAGGGCAAAGACTGGCACACACAGGTGCCTTCAGGCCGAGTCTGGGGGGTTCGGTCCGCATGCCAGAACTCCAGGAACTCTGTTCTTGTCCTGGTCCAGTGAACTCTGCCAGTGAGGACGCAGCACACACACAAGCACAGGGCCACACACGGGTACACAGAGGCACACGTCCATAGACACACACCAGCCACATACACGGACTACACACAGGTGGGTGCGTGCGCGCGCGCACACACACACACACACACACACAGAGTCCTGTGCTGTCCCCGTGGGTTTTGTGCCCAGGAGAAGGGAGACCTCATCTCCAAGGCTGAGGTGAGGGCGGTGCCCCGACCCTGAGCCTGCCAGCCTCCTCCGAGCCAGCTCGAGAGCCTTTCAAAGACTACCATGCAGTACCCTGTCCTGACTTTGGCAGCCCCCCGAAGGGCAGCAGCAGCCCTGCCCACTGTGACATTTCAGGCCTTCTGCCATCGTGCTAGGAAGAAGAATGCTGCCAGCACGTTTGGGTCTCGGAGACGCAGGGGGGGGAGCACTGTCCAAGTGCAGACCTGTCCTACATGGAGGAATGTTCACACCAACACCCTGGGGGAGATGTGGGATCCGCTTGTCTGTGCCTGCGCCGGTGGTCTGTCCAGAGCCTGGTGTTCCCTCGGGACCAGCCACCCACCTCCATAGTGTCAGCCCGGCCACTCAGGGCTGTGAGGAAAGCTGGACCGGGTGGCTCCCGTCCTAGGGCGGGGCCTCTGCCCTCCCAGACTGGGCTCCCTGTGCTCGGGGCGGCCTGGGCGCCAGCTTCTCTCCAGCTCTTCTGTACGCGGCCCTTGCTGCACGTGGTCGCTGGCTCCAGCATTCCTCAGAAGGGTCAGATGTGGACATCACCTCCCAAGGGATGGAAGAGCTGAGTGGGGGAAAACGGGCCCTGTGTGTTCAGAGACTGGTGCACAGAGCAGGTCCCAGGCCCGAGGCTTGCTCCCCTCAGCCTTTCTTGCTGCCATGGAGCGGGCCCCTCAGAGACACCCTGCTTCCTGAGGCTCTTGCCAGAACTGTCCCCACCCTGTGTCCCTGGGTCTTCCACTCCCAGATCCCCTTGTGTGCGCTTCTGTCTGCTCCACACCCTGCCCAGGCCCGAGCACATCTTCCCAGGACCTGTGGTTCCCCGGGAGGTGGGCTGACCTCTGCCACCCTGAGTCCCCTCCCCTGTACCAGTGGACCCTGCACCCTTCACTCAGCACCAGCGCAGTGGGTTCCAGGAGGAGCCTGCTAGGTCGGCTGTGGGGGACAGAGCAGACAGGCCCTGTGGAAATCCCCGCGGAATCTGTCCTGTACACAATACAAGTGCTCATGTGTACACACGTATACACACCCACATGCATGCATACGGCATGCACACGTGCAGGCACCCATGTGCACACACATACGTGTACACACCCACATGGTCATGCTTACACCTCAGACCACGCCAACACTCTGCTCACATCTACCCTTTCCTCCTCCCACCGCCTAACTGGTTCCCAGGGACCCAGCCGGCCAAGGTGCCCCACATCAGCCTTGTGACAGTTGCTGAGGGTGACCTCGTGTTTGCACTGGGACTGGATCCCTGCTCACTGGGAGGGTAGCTGGTCAGGTCCTGGTGTCACCGCGCCCTTTCCAGACCCCAGCTCTGTCACTGGGAGTGGAGCTGCAGCTGCTGCCAGGCTGGCCCTCCTCTCCACTCCTGTCCTTGTGCTCTGTGTCCCAGGCCCTGCCCGAGGCACAGCAGTTCCATGACTGTGTGCTCCCTGTGTGCCAGTTCTTCTGTCCATCTGTACAGTCTGGGAACCCACAAGGTCCTGCTGGGCTGCTTTTACTTGAGCTGTCTATTTCCAAAGGGGCAGGAAGGTCCAGGTCCTGGCCACGGATGCACAGGGTACAGGTGGGACACAGGCCAGGACCAGGGGAGAAACCAGTCTGGGGTCTGCTGTGAGCTGGCCAGGCAGCTGGGCAGTGGTTCAGGGGCTGCATGGAGCAGAGCCTGCTGCACCCTGAGGTGGGTTGAGGTTGGAGACTGACACCTTTCTGAAACCCAGCGTCACTGCTTAGAAACAGATTTTGTTTTTCTGAGGCTGGGTCTCACTGAGTTGCTCAGCGTGGCTTCAACTTGCACAAGAGCTGAATTAGAGGCTTGCAGAAGGCGTGAGCCAGTCCTGCCTCCCGGCCTAGGGGGAGGTCCCTGCTGCCTGACAGTGGAGACTCGCGCCCTTGGAGTGGGCAACCTGGGGCCAAAGCTGAGAGAGCCGTGCAGGGGCCTGGGGATCTGAGGACGGGCACAGCTCCACGGCCCGTGGGCCAGGCCCCCAACCGGCCCTGTAGGTGCGGCCCACTGCACACTCAGCCTCTGGCATCTGTGTTGGTGTCCAGCCAGCAGGGGCCAGGCTGAAGGACATCACGCGACAGTCCTCAGACCTCAGGAAGGAGCAGCTGCCTCATGAGTAATCGGAGCCACGCGCTACGTCCCTTAGATGTGCGCCATCCTGGCGTGTACTGTGCCGGCACCGAGAGAACCACCCGTGGGGACAGCAGCAGAGGTCGTTAAGCACAGAGACGCCAGGTGGCCTGTGCAGGGGTCCAGAGGGACACGCAGGTGCACACATCTCTGTGACACTGTGATAGTGACCCAGCCATGTCCTCTCCAGAGCGACAGCACAGGGATCAGCGGTGGCTCTGGCACATTTGGGAGATGCAGCGTGGCTGGGGGGGGGGGGTCTGCGGCTGCCAAGGCCCCCCACGCCCAGAAGGCACATCCTCCAGACCTGCTGCTCTCGTCCCTGGGCCCTGAATGACCTCTCTTCTCCCCTGTCCTGCAGGCCATGAACTTGGAGGTCCCTGTGCTGGCCAGGAACATTCCCGGGAATGCCACTGTGGTGACGCATGAGGTCACGGGGCTTCTGTTCACAGACCCGCAGGTGAGGAGCTCGGCCCTGCCTGCCTGCCGTGCTGCGTGTGTGCGGCCTGTCTGTGTGTGGAGAGCACTGTGCCATGGCTGCTGCATCCTGGGGACTTCTTGGAGTCCCCAGGGTGCTGCCCTTGGGTGCCGCCTTGGGGAGGCAGCAGGGGAGCTCAGATCTGCCCTGCCCCGGAATAGCTAGACAGGCTGGTGAGTCACCTCACCTCTAGGGGCTCCGGCTCCTCACCTCAGAACTGGGCTTGTGGGGTGCAGCCCTGTACTTGGGGAGCATCTGTCAGCTTTTGGAACAAATGCATGTCCTCGGTTCTGCCCACGAAACAGCTAAGAATAGGGTGACCCTTGGGAGTGCTGAGTGAGGAGTGTTCCTGGGCATTAGAAAACAAACAGGCCATGTGGCCGGCAGGGGGCGCTGTGGGCCTCTGAGGGCCTCCCAGCATGCCCATGACCATGTGGACCAGGGTAGGGTGCCCACTTGGTCCAGAGGACGCAGGGATGCACCCGCGAGTGTCCGCCACATTTCCATTTGAAGCCCTCGGTCCCTTCGCAGGGTTGGGGACGCTGGCTGAGTTCCCTGTGTCTGTGGGAACTGTTCTCTTGGGCCAGTTCCCGCTCCCGGGGTGAGGAGGAGGACAGAGCTGGTGCCTGGGTCAGGGCTCAGGCTCAGCGCAGCTGGACTCTTCCACAGGAGTTGTGCAGGCATTAGAGCCACGTTCCTTTAGAAACACGGGGCTGATTGTAAAAATTATAGTACTCGGTCATTAAAAGGTTCTGGGGCCAGCCGCAAAGCTCTGCGGATTAAAGCGCCTGCTTACGCAGACTGAGACTGAGGCTGGGCGTGGCGGAACGCTCCTGTAATCCCGGCCCTTGGGAGGCTGAAAACAGGAGAATCACTGTGAGTTCCATCTGGGTAGCGAGACCCTGTAGACCCTGTACTAAATACATATGAAAACAATGCAAACAAGTAAACAGATAAAAGGTTGTGTTGTGTCCGCCGAGTCCAGTGCGGCTTCTCTCCACAGCAGAATCCGAGGGCCTTCTTCTCACTTGCGGCTCAGGCAGCCACAGGCTTGAGCACAACTGAGGTGCGCTTTGGCTCCTGGGGAGAAGGGAAGCTTGTCCCCATCACAACACTGGCACGGACACCTACCTGGCCTGGGGATTGGCTGGGTCAGTGTGCAGGGAGCCAGGGGTCCCTGTGTCAGAGCCCCCAAGGGCCTAGAGCAGCAGTGGTGAAGTCACCACAGCGGTCACCTGCAGGGCCACCCACAAAGGCCTGTGAGGGCCAGACTGGTGGTGGGGAGCTTCGGCCCCGTGGCACCGCCTTGTGGTGGGGAGCTTCGGCCCCGTGGCACCGCCTTGTGGTGGGGAGCTTCGGCCCCGTGG